GTCTTGGGCTGTGCATGGGTGAGAGGTGCAGGAGAGGGGTCCTGTGCATGGGCAGGGGGAGCAGGAGGGGGGTTCTGGGCTGGCCAGGGGGTGCAGGAGCGAGGTCTTGGGCTGGGCAGAGGGTGAGGGCGGGCGGCCCTGGGCCATACATGGGTGCAGAGGAGGGGTGCTGGGCCCTGCAGCGGGTGCTGGGTCCTACAGCCTTGTCTCGAGGTGGCGCCTGCGGCTGCTCTGTGACGGCCTCTCTCATGCCAGGCCAATGATGCCTGCAAGTGCAATGGCTGGAAGAACCCCAACCCGCCCACCGCCCCCCGCATGGACCTGCAGCAGCCCGTGGCCAACCTGAGCGAGCCGTGCCGGAGCTGCGGACATGCCTTAGGTAACCCGCCCCGGAGCCGGGAGCCGGCGCCGCTCAGAGGGAGGGAGGGGGCTCCCCGGGCGGGCAACGTGCCCAGGGTCTCACGGTGGCTCCCTCTGCACCGCAGCGGACCACGTGTCCCACCTGGAGAATGTCTCCGAGGAGGAGATTAACCGGCTGCTGGGCATGGTGGTGGACGTTGAAAACCTCTTCATGTCCGTGCACAAGGAGGAGGACACAGACACCAAGCAGGTGTATTTCTACCTGTTCAAGGTACGGCTGGGCCCTCTCTGCTTGCTGCAGAGGTCTGTGCTGTGGTTCGGACCCCAGCGGTGCTGGTGACCGTCCCGGCTCCTTGCCCTCCTTCCTCTGTCCTGCGCAATGTGCCCGCTGCTGAAGGCTCTCGGTGCTGGGATTCGTGCTGAGGGCCTGAACTGTTTCTTGGGACCTTGGCATTAAAACGCTAACCGTGTCTGATGCTGTCTTTGCAGCTCCTGAGGAAATGCATCCTGCAGATGAGCCAGCCTGTAGTTGAGGGGTCCCTGGGGAGTCCTCCGTTTGAGAAACCGAACATTGAGCAGGTGATGCCAGAGCTCTGTTGTGCTGGTAGCTCGGCCTGTGTTTGTGGCTGTTGTGTTGTTCCAGTGTGGGTGGTGGCCACGTGCTTCCTTGTGCCCTTTGTGGCCAGCGCTGAAGGGACCGATGCTTCTTTCTCCATCCCGTTTTGTGGTTTTCAGTCCCACTGATAGTGTGAAAATAAAGGGCATCTTTTTGTGGCCTGGTGATGCCTGGTCATCCCGCTGCAAAGCTGCACTCGAGGCCTCCGCAGCGCCCTGGATTGCCTTCTGCTGCAGCCCTGTGTTAGTAGGGAGCGCGTCGGGTGCCATCCCCTCTTCCTCTGTCCCAGGGAGTCTTGAACTTTGTCCAGTACAAGTTCAGCCACCTGCCACCCAAGGAGCGGCAGACGATGTACGAGCTCTCCAAGATGTTCCTGCTCTGTCTCAACTACTGGAAGCTGGAGACGCCATCCCAGTTCCGGCAGCGCTCCCAGAGTGACGATGTGGCTACCTACAAGGTCAACTACACGCGGTGAGTGCCTGGGAGGAGGGTCTGAGCCCAGCCAGCTCCTGCGGCGGGGTCTGCACAGCTCTGGGCTCTGGTCAGGGCTGACTGCTGATTCCATGTGTCTCTGCCTCTTCCCAGCCCCACAGTCCAGGCAGCGCTGGCTTGGGGACTGGTAAGTGGGAAGCAAGAGGCTTCTGTTTTGGTCCCTGTCTTGTTTGGCCTCACCCTGCAGCATTGGTGTCCGAACCCCGCAGACCCAAGGGCCTGGTTGCCCTTCTGGAGCATTCATGACTTGCACTGTGTGTCCAGGGCACCGTGAGCCTCACATCTTCACGGATACTGTGCCTTGTGTCTCTTGAGCCCTGGCCGCTCTCCTGGATCACTGCCCCATGGTTGCAGTGCGTATGCCGGCCGGCCGCCTGTGCAGGAGAGTCTGGACTTGGAAGTCACGAGCTCTCACTTTCTCCTCAAGCTGGGCAGCCCGTGTCCCACGGACGCCTGGGACGGTGGGAATGGGTCGTGGCCCCTGTTATTCCAAAGCAGTCTCCTCTGGATTCCTGCTGTCCACACCCCTGTTTCCAACCCGCTCCCTTGCACCAACACTTGTCCCAGCCGTGGGTACTGGTCCCTAGCAAGTGGCCAATCTGTGGGTGTGTGTGTCCTGCTGCTTCCCAGGTGGTTGTGCTACTGCCACGTGCCGCAGAGCTGTGACAGCCTCCCCCGCTACGAGACCACCCACGTCTTCGGGCGCAGCCTCCTCAAGTCCATCTTCACGGTCACCCGCCGGCAGCTGCTGGAGAAGTTCCGGGTTGAGAAGGACAAGCTAGTGCCAGAGAAGCGGACGCTGATCCTCACCCACTTCCCCAAGTAGGTGCCCCAGTGTGGGAAGGAGATGCGCCTTGGCTGAGGGTCTCTTCCCTTGGGAGTGCTTGTCCAGGTGCTGTTTTCCCCTTCTCTGTGAGTGTCCCTTTGCATTCCCTGTTGCTCGCCGAGCGATGGGGCTGCACATGCCCCGGCTCAGCAGCTAACGTGCCGGTTCCTGCCCAGGTTCCTGTCCATGCTGGAGGAGGAGATTTATGGGGAGAACTCGCCTATCTGGGAGGCTGATTTCACAGTGCCTGCCACGGAGGGTGGCCAGCTGGTGTCTCGCCCAGGTATCTTGGGGAGCAGCTTGCCCTGCATTGGGGGCCACTAGGATAAATGACCTGGCTGTAGAGTGCTCAGAAGGGCTGCGGCTGGACTGATGCACTCGGTTCTTCAGTGAGGTGTTTTCTGCCTTCAGTCTCGGGTGCTGTTGGTTTCTTCCAGCTGCGGTCAGCACTGTTGCTGTGCCCACCACTCCGCTCTTCAGCAAGAAGCTCAGCAGCAGCAGCTCGTCAGCAAACGTGGATTCCAGCACCCCAGAGCCTCTGCCAGGTAACGCTGGTCTGGGCCCAGCGCTGGAGGGAGCAGAGACTTCCTTCGGTCCTAGCAGACTCCATCCTAACATCTGGCTTTGACCTGCTGCTCCCCTTTCCCAGGTGAGAAGCGGAAGCTGCCTGAGAGCCTCACGCTGGAAGACGCCAAGCGGATCCGCGTCATGGGCGATATTCCCATGGAGCTGGTGAACGAGGTCATGCTGACCATCACAGACCCTGCGGCCATGCTGGGCCCTGAGGTACGTGCTGCAAATGCACTGCACACCTGCCTGGAAGAAGCAGCCAGCTCTTAGCAGTGTTGCCCAGGACCCAAGCTGGCCTTTCAAAGGGCTGACCTGTGGGTCAGGTGCTGCCAGCGCTGCTTTGAGTGCCTGTGCCCAGAGCCAGGCCCTGCCACCCGGGTGGTGTGTTACTGGAGCTGGGAGGGAGGAGGACTCTGCACAGCGGTGCTTTAGTTGAGCAGAGAGGTAAGCACAGGATGCCCTGTGCTCTCCGGGAGCTCGTATCCAGAAGGATGCCTTCCTGGCCTGACTGGACCCGTGAGCATCCGAGTTTTTTCCCAGGGAGGTATTTGTGGGGCCAGTCTAACCCGTCCCCGTTCCCTCCCAGACCAGCCTGCTGTCAGCAAATGCAGCGCGGGACGAGACCGCCCGGCTGGAGGAGCGACGGGGCATCATCGAGTTCCACGTCATCGGCAACTCGCTCTCGCAGAAGTCTAACAAGAAGATCCTGATGTGGCTGGTGGGTCTGCAGAACGTCTTCTCACACCAGCTGCCCCGCATGCCCAAGGAGTACATCACACGGCTTGTCTTTGACCCGTATGTAGCTCGGAGGGCAGCGACGGGTGCTGGGCTGGCGTGGGGAGCTCCCTTCCTCACTCTCT